GCGAGGAGGGGCCGATGGCAGCCTACGAATTTGAAATGCAGCTGGATTTATTAATTTCCTGTGATAAACATGAGGTGGCAATGCAGACCCCAGCCTAAGGTGGCACGTCCCTAGGGCCATGGGGTTTTATCCAAACGGGCAGCGAAAGTAGATCGTAGAGGAGCGTATGCAGGGGAGCGCAGAGACAAAATTCCATTTGATATTCCTTGTACAGAAAACAACATGGGGTCTTTTATGGTAAGAATAATTAAGCAGAATCAAAATTACAAAGGGGTTTTTGACAGCCACTATAACCTGAAAGTTATGTTATCAGTGCGTTGTGCCAGTGGCTAGTGACACCTTTCAGGGACCAGATGCCTCACCACAGGCGTATGGAGCAAGAGGGCCAACGCCACAGCGCTTGTCTGACCTCCTGGCTGCTGCCAGGGTCTGGCATGCCGGTGCCTAGGTTAGGAATTGTCTCTGAAAACTCTGCGAATGCAGTCTGCTCTAAAATTAGGAAGAGGTTTGGGAAGGGTGGCTTTGTCGCCCTTGGCGTTTTTCCTGCAGGTGCTGTAGAAGACAGTCTGGCACGTTACGGTCGCGTACGATCAGTTTTTTTATGAGCCTTGTTACTTCCAAAAGCAGAATATATTTCAGCAGCCCTAAAATGCCAGCACTTAGTATAATGGCTGGGTCATTCTGCAGCTATTGCCAGAAACCTAATTGCCCATTTGGAAGGAAGAATAGAGATGTGTCATTTTATGAAGGGTTGCAATGGGGGTGATTTTTACCTGCAGGTGAAAAATGATGAGTGTTTTGCTTTGTTACTGTCATTTGCTGCTTGCACTTTTATCATCACTGATTTTATGTATTTTATTCTCTGTTTGAGGAGCTGCTGGCTACAAATAACCAGTAATCTCTTGCTTTTCTCCGATATCTCTTAATTATACATGTACTTCCTTTCCTTCCGTGTGTGTGGTCGGGTGCAGGCTGCATATGTTAGCGTGATGTGCGTGTGCTGTATGCCAGAGGCCCTTTTGTATTTTGGGTAAGAGAAAAAAGCGGTTGTGTATGATGTGTCATGGGCTTATAGTAATTATAAGTCAGTAACATGAAATTATTAGTCACGTTTTCTTCTCAGCTGTCAAAGACAGTTCCTGAGTTTCCTATCTGTCTCGTTAACAAGTTTACATTTCCTCTGAGTAAGGAAAATACCGACCTTTTTTTAAGCAACCTTTAGGTCAGCTTCAGAGCCACGGTATCCAATCTCAGCTGTATTTGCTGCCCTCTCTTCAGTGAGGCTGAGCTCAGTCCACTGCCAGCCCTCCAGCCGTGTCGAAGCCTGTAGACCCCTCCGCTGCAGCTGCTTGCCTGAGCAAACCTGCGGCTGGGTCCAAAGCCTGTGGACAGGATTAAGCCCAGTTTGGTTAATGGTCTAGTGGAGGAGAAGGTGTAACTGCAGTGATATCAAATTACAAATTCGGAGTTAGATGCAATCCTCGTGCAGTCTGAGGGTGTTAAAATGCCTGGCAATGCCATGCCTGTGCTGTAAGCTGTAGTTAATGACCCGGTCTCCCAATTTTGTTGCTCTGAACTTTGCAAGTAAGTACTTACTAACAGCACGACTGTCCTTTTAATGCTGGGGTGACTCCTGCTTAAAAACAAAGTCTTCTTAGCATAAAGATTTTCAATTTTCCTTGCAGTAACTCTCGTCTCTTTGAGGCAGTGAGATAAAAGGTGGATATGCAAAATATCCCAAACAACCGCTCCCTAAATTCTCAAGACCTGACAGCACATCGGTAGCCTTGTTGCAGTTGTGAAGTTACCTGGTTTGAGGTTTCTCTTATCTTAAAATGTAAATAATGGGCATGTTCAGTATTAAAAAGCTGCTCCTCGTGAGCAGTGATTATAAAACTTCATAGCACGGTCATGTTTGTACACCCGTTACTGGGCCATGACTGGCAGTGCATGGGAGCAAGTCCATGCCATAACAAAGCTGCCGGAGCTCCTGGGGCAAACTGGGCCCAGGAGCATCGCATGGTGCCTTTAAATGCACACGTGTGCTTTCCAGATATCCTTATCGCTCCCAAGCAGGGTGCCAAGTTGTTGGGGCTTTTCTTGTTTGTTTTCTTTAAATTTAGTGGCTGGAGCACAATTCTGCACTGGTGGGCGGTGTTGGTGGGAAGTTTCACTTCTCTGTTCTACCAGAAGCCTGAAGGCAGTTCCTTGTGTGGTTTGGGCAGAGATTTCTCAGAGTTAGAGGAGAGACGAAAGATTTCGGGAGAGAGAGGTGAGATACTGGAAGTTACTTCTGCTCTGCTTTTACTGAGCTAGTGTTGAGCTTGATAACCACTCTTCAGGAAATTTTAAACCTTGCACCCCATCCTAAATACTGAACTGAAGTAATTTGGAGGAGGTGAAGGTGCAGGCAGGTGAAACGTCTCTGTGGGAATGGGGAGGAAGCAGAGTGCTTCTTAAAAATGGAGCATCCCATAGGATGGGAGAAGCATCTTGCAGATGCCTGAGCCAGGTGTAAGACCTGTCCTTGGCAGGCAGAGTTTAGCAGTAGCCAGAGGGGCCAAGAGCATCATCTCATTCTTTTCTCCTGCCTCTTGGCTTAGATGGGAAGAAAATACAGCCACCCCTGAAACCTCAGGGGCTTATGCCCTGTAATAAGGTGCACCAGCGCGCAGGTTTCAGATGGCAGCAAAAAGCCCTTGGTACTACTGGTGATGGTTTAATGAGTGTGTGTAAATGAAAAGTGCCCTGAGGACATGAAGTGCTCCTGACTGCTCAGAAAATGATCTTGACTTAAATGCGATCTTCAATTGGTCACAGTTAACTTCTCTGGTGTAATTGCTGCTAATATACTTCTGCGTGCTGCCTGTGCGGGGATCGGTAATGAGAAAGCAGCAAGAGAGCAAGAAGCAGGGAAGGAGATGACACTTTGAGCCTGCTTTTATTTTCCTTTATATACTCATTGTGCCGGATCCTTGCCATGTTTAGCGCTTGCTGTGGTTCATTGTTTGAATGTCACAGTGCTATTTGAAGTTTAATTGCTCTGCTAGATGTAAGACCCTAGTTGAATGTATGTTTTTTGTAAGTTTGCAGAAGGTACAGAATTGTTGCTGACACTGAGAGTCACTACAAATCATGTAGCTGAAGCAGAAGGAGGAGGAAGCTGCACTATGGCACTTCATTCCCCAAAAAGTATTTGCATGAACAGACAGAACTTCACAGTCTCCTGGTCCTTGCCTCAGCCTTTTGTGTATGCCAGCGAGTTGATCTGAAGAGAAGTTTGATCTCAGCCATTAATCAGATAACATGGAACTTCTTGAAACAAAAGGGAATTGCACAGCAAGTACGTCAGGGCAGTATGTTTCTGACAGTACACTAAAAAGCTGCCTTGAGAGTGAGCCTTTGAAAACCAAGGCATTAGAAACACATGGAAGAATTCCACAACGCCTGTAGAATTGCAGCTCTCTATGCCGTATCAATAGCTGTGTGTTCTTGTTTGAATAGGAGTGACACTGGCACTGAAGTTATTAGTGCGTGATGGTTGCACTGGAGGTTTTCCTGAACCCTTTCCTGTAAATGCTGTTAGTGCTACACAGATACAAAAAAAAGGACATGGTATAGAGAGGGCAAGGGCTGTGCATAGGTGTAGTGCATAGTGCCAAAGTTTTCTGGCTCTTTTCCTTCATTCTTTTGTTTATCTTCTCTAAATTGGGGGGTACAAAGGGCTGAGGGTTATGTATTTTCTGGTAGCCAAAATACCATAAAACCTATGCATTTGGTTTAAATGGGGAATGTGCTGGGGGTGTGGTGGGGGTGGCAGTGTTTTGTTTTTGTTTTCTGTGCTGCTTGGTTATAAAGTGCTGTGCTGACATTTTAACACTTATTTCAGACACGGTCATAGACATTCTCTTTCTAAATCTGATAAGGGCACAGTAACCCGTGAAACCAGTCTGTGCCTGTATCTTAATTTAGGGTCTATAGACAAGCAGCTATAGGGAAAGCTACGCTCCTGCAAAATCCATTGCTGTCAAATTGGAAATGGTGCCTAAAATAACAGCAAGTCTGGATTTGTGTATTTGCTGAGGTTTTGGTTAATAGAAAAAGATGTGTTTCATTTGTAAGGGTATTTGAGTGTACTTCATGGTAAAAATGTACTGCTTTTTGACTGCCCTTTCTCCCCACTCCTGTCTGAAGCGAAGATAGAAGTCCTTCCCTAAAAACTTCACGGCTCTGGCAGAGATGCTGTTCCTGATGTTCCAGTTCTGTTTCAGTCTGGGCAGTTTCCGCTGGGCAAGTTGCTGAAGTCTCTCGTTAGACAAAAGGCAGCAATAAACTCTTGGAGTGTTGGGCCATGTTAGGGCCAGATCACTCCAGCTCAGTCAGCCCCCTGCTTTGCCTGGCTGTGCGAGCTTCTCTGCATCCCGCCCCATCCCATGCCACGCTGTGCTGCAGCCCTCGGGTGCTAAGCAGCAGGCAAAGACCAGCCCTGTGCTGTGTACCAGTGTCAGTAATGTACATGATTTGAAGCCAAATTTATGTCCTTCTACTGTTCTACATCAGAGAGAATCTCTCTCTATGAAATACATATTTACATAAAAAAATTTATAAAACACATTAGTTTTAAATTCCATAGTCTGACTTCATAAATGATACAAAATTTATCTTCAGTGATTTAACAGCTTTAGGACTGTATTTGATTAAATATCCATCAGTGCTGGACATCTAAATAATTTAGAACCTTCTCCCTTTGGAAAGAGAGAGGCAGCACGAGTGACCAGCCAGGAGTTCAGATGTGTGTGATTTTAAGTGGATGGGTCTTTGAAAGCACGTGGCTATGTTGTGTTTCCCTAACGGATAGTTCAACTTTCTAAAACTACATGGTGGTGCTAATTTTATTTTAGCTATTTAACCACTGTTAGGAAAATGAAATGTACAGAATTTTAAAATGGCTTGCTGATTAACTGCTGTGGTTTGTTCTTTGTATTTTTTTATCTCTAGATCAGTCGTATTGTCATCGGCTGCAACACGACATGTATTTTCTTACAAGCAATAGCCGACTGAATGAGCAAGTGGTTGATAAAATTATTCTTCAGCTTAACAGAGTCTACCCCCAAATTCTTACCAATGCAGAAGCAGAAAAGGTAATTTGATAAATTTTGCTGTATCTCTGAACGTCGCATTGTTTTTGCGGGTCAGTAGCTCAGCTGCCCTCTTCTCGACTTGGCTCTCGGTGCCACATGCAGCCAATCTCCCTCGCCTCTTACATGCTGACCAATTGTATCTGGGGTCTCGTATCAGAGGAGAAGTCCACAGGGCTGGCACGTTCCCTGTGCCAGGTGGTTATGAGAGGGGGCACTCTCTTCAGCAGCAGCTTAATGCCACGGTCCCTGCCACGACGTCTGACGCCGTGCGTGCGGAAGCACGCTATCTTAAAACTGCTCCGTGGGCAGGATTGCACCCATCGTGTGACCAAATGCCCTGCATGCCTGCCTCCTCACGCGAGTCAGGGTGGAGTGTCATGTCAGATGATCTGTGCTGCATCCACCTGTGTCCACAAAATCGTCTATATTAGCTTAATCAGTTTTAGTTGTTGATTAATGTGATTAATAACTCTGAGTATTGGTAGAGAAGGGGGGCATTAGTCCCACCTATAAGCTGTGGGAAGTGAGTGGAGTTAGTAACATCTTCCAGTGATGCTGCTATGTATGGAGGAAGGCCGCCCTCCCTGGCATGAAGCTTTCAAAAATGGGTAGCTGTTTTTAGGGAGAAAGATCTTTTAAACTTGTGTGGAGTGAAAGTTAAAGTCAGTTAAAAGCTTCCCAGATCCTACTTACAACAGTTTATACTTGCCCTCGGCTGACTTCATTGTCTGCACAAGGCTCGGGGTTTTGCCGTATCAGTATTTTAACATTAGGAAAAATAGGTCTAATTCTGTCATAATCAAACTCCGTGGGAAGGAATAGTGTTTTGGTGGTGTAGATCAGTGCTAGATCATCAGCTGAGCCAGTCTAGCCACTCAGTTATGATAAACAGCGTGACACGCACAATTAAAGATCATCTCATTCCCTCAAGAGCTTCAAAATAAATGCATAACAAATCTGTGAAGCATAATTTCTGGCTTCTGCACTTAGCAGACAGAAATGAACTGGTTTCTCATAGGTCCAGGCAAGTTGCTGTCAACTGTATTGAGTGTTTAGGAAGCTTACCATCTCAGCTGTATCTGGTAGACCTTATGGGAATTTTGTCAGAATAAGGAGTGTTGTATAAGGTATGTTGTATTCCTGTCCCCCTAGAGCAGGAATTGATCTTAACTAAGTGTACTACAAATGTTATTTGCTGTACTGATCTGAAATACAATGCTTTGCTGAGAACGGCTTTGGACATTTTCCAAATAAGCTGAAATCAGTTTGATGTGTGTAAGGCTAGGTACGCGTTTTCATTCTCTTCGTAAGGTCTCCTAATATTCATCACATTTGGGACTACAGAAAAAAAGTACTTTCTTCTGCAACTGCTTGCCATGTTGCCTGAGTAATGAGAATTTGTACCTGTTGCACTGGTTACGCAGCGGTTAATTGTGCTGGTAACAATGAAACGTAATCTTGGGATGATGAACACTCCAATATTGGGACTAATATAAGCAGTATATTAGGGTGATCATTACTAGGGAACTAAGATAAAACTTGAAAACATGAAACTTTATTATAAGATTTGTTGGTATTTTCTATCAATAGCTGTCAGAATCAAATTGTAGAATAGCAAGTACAATGTTAGTTTGAATGCAGAGGAAACATCAAACGCAGAGTAGCTGTCACTTTATCAGGACAGAAAAAAGAATGAGGGAAGGCAGAGGCAACATGCTCTCCATCCAGCAGTGCTGACCAGGTGGAGCTCAGTGTCTTGAAGACTGCTGTGCAATGCATGTCCTTTTTAGGTTCCCCTCATTGTTTTGGCCCATTCTTTTAGCAAATACAAAACAAGCTCCGTATCTTCACATACTGTAAAGTGATGTAAAATTGATCTCCAGCTGTTGTAATCTCTCTTCTGATGAGTGCTTTTCTCTTACAGTTCAGGAATCCAAGGGCATCACTCCATACCAGACTTTCAGATCTGATAAAGCACCTTCAAAAGAAAGGAGACAGACACTGTCAAGAGTTTTACAGGGCTCTACAGATCAATGCTGAACAGCTGTATAATGACCTGCCAAGCAGGAAAATCTTGAGTAAGTTGATTTGTAAGTTGATTGAGTTGTGGATTTCCTCATCAGTGTATTATAAAACCTCATTCAGATGAGGTTTAGGTTATTTAAATAACCTGTTTAGGTTATTTAAATAACTTCTGGGGTATACATTAATTCCTTCTGACTGGAATTTTCCAAAAGCCGTAAAGGGATTTAGCTGCATAGTTCTTGTTATTCGTGGACTAGTGTGGGCAGTCTAAAACTCTTTGATTGTTTTGACATACGAAATACGTCTTTAAAACAGTTTAAGTGCAACATGTAAGACAGCGATATAACTTGTATAAATTTCATAACCATTGCTTCTTAATGGATTGTTTATTTCCTCTGTGTTCATTCTGACTTGTAGCACGTGAGAACATTACAAACCTCAAATTTGTTAAGCTCAAAACTCTGGTGGCCCAGAAGCTTGGCTTTCCCTCAATCCATAAATCTCCTGGTTGTGTCTAGTTTAACATGAAGCAAACATTCATAGGCCCTTGCAATGATGAACTGTGATATTAATCACTTAGGACTTGTTTTGTGCAGCTGGCAGGCCTGACTGATGTCCGTAAAGCTGCCCCCCAAATATACATGTATGTACTTCAGAAGGACTGAGGCTCAAACAGATTTGATTCTTTACTGCAAAGGAGCTCATTTCTTTAAGGAAAGTATCAAGCCTGACTTGCCAACCTGGGATAATGCTTGCTATGTGTTGGTGTTTCTTTTTTTTTTCTTCCCTGCCTAATGAACTGGAGAAAAGAACAATGTTCCAAATGGATGGGAAATACGTTCAGGCATCCTGCATACTGAAATAACTTGAGGAGCTTGAGGGAAAGCTCCCACGTTTAAGTTAATGAAGCTGCAAAGGGACTGCAGTTTAAGAAATCCTTATAAAGTATCTAACAGCATTAACGCTTCACTGGTCAATTGATTTCTAGATGTAACAAACTCCACAGTGAGGCGCCAGTGGAAATTTTAAACATGTGAGTCAAAACTCCAGGGAAATTCAAACCGTTACACCAAAAGTCCATAGGTTTAAAAAAAACAATTAGACCTCTTTTATTTCTGGAGTGAAAACGGCTTGTAAAATTGTAATTACCTTTGAAGATACTGCATTGTCTAGCTTTGTTTTGCCTTTCATTTTGAAGGAAAAGCTTTGTATCTACCCAGCACAAATACGTACCAGTGGAAGACTTCACCATTTTCCTGCCTGCACAGGGAGGCTGCAAAGTTACCCCAGGTCTCCATATCCCACACCCGAACCCTCTTGAACTGGGAAAGTCTGGGACCATCCCTGCCTCAGAATCTCAGATGAGCGTGAATCTCTATTGATTCAGCCTCGGAGCAGCTTTAAGGCAGTGCTTTCGATCTGATATTCACCTTGCAGAAGTCACGCCCTTTGAGGGAAAAGGCTCTTAAATCAAATAGTCTTGGATCAATCGTTTTTACTCAGGTAGAGCTCAAGAGCAACAGGTTTTTCTGCCAGGCTGACTAGAAGGCAGCAGACAGCCTTTATTAATTAAGAGCAACTTAAGAAGTCCTAGTGTAGTCACTAAGAATAAAATATCAAGATTGTATTGATGGTTTAAGAGTTTAAGCTCTGTTAATGTTCAATAACACTTACCTTCTACAAGCCATTTCTGAAAATGTGTCTTAGCAGGTGTACGCAGCAGCCAAGGCCTGACTACATCCCATATAGACGGTCTGAGTTCAGCTGGGTACTAGAAATAGCATAGCTGTGACCAAGTTCATCCGTACCCGTAAAACTCACCTTGGAAGTTGTGCAGATATTGCGAAGATGAACTCGTGCTGTTGTCACGCCCGGACAAACCAGCTGAAAGGAAACTTGCATGGGGCGTCTGTGTGATGTTTTCACTTTTAGCTAGAGCATAAACGTGCTCGTCCTTGCACCTGATTTACGTGGTTACTTCTGAGAGCTTTTACTCGGGTAGCTACATGAGTAGGCAGGGTTAGGGCTTCTCATGTTCAGAGTGCGCATAACAAGTACATGTGCTAGAAGTGCTTCACAGAAAAAATAGATCTTTGTGGTGCCCCAAAACTGTTTTGCTGCTGTTGCATTACGCAAAGGGACTCCAGTAACCATCGTAAGTCATTAAGTTCTCTGTGTCTTGGTACAGTCTCTTATGTTACCATCCTCAGAATGATGAGAATAATTTAAATAACTGAGTTAAAATACTACTACATCGTGAGATTATATTGACCTGAGAAGGAAATAATGAGATAATTGTGTTAATATGTTTACTGCTTCTTATGAGTTCTGTAACTAAAACAAATGTCTGTATTCTGGATTGAATGGTTGATAAACATCTGTGCAGCATTTTAAGCTAAAACCGCGAACAATTTTATTCTGATTCTTCAGGAAAAGCTCCCTTTTCAATATGAGGTGTTATTTCTCATTTAAGGGAACTTGAACATTTTGAATATTAAAGGCATTATCCTTTGGACCTCTAACATGTACAATTTTTATGTTAATCAAATGTTACTCACAGCAGTAGTTGTTAAATTTGCCAAAATTAGCATAGAGCATTTACAAAATTGACAGAATTTGTAAATGTGAGGAAAAAAGGGAATCCCTAACATGGGGACTTTGTTCTAAATGCTGCTTGACCTGAAACAAGCAGCATTATAAACACCTAGAGAAATTATTGGTGAGGACTGTGATGAACTATGGCCAGGACAGAGTTCTGTAATAGATTACATGCAGCTGTACATACGAAAACTGTTTTTTACAGAGGAAATCCTTTCAAAGATCTCTTTTTCATTTTTAAAACAACTTTGGAATTTGTGATAGAACAAAGTTTCTTTGCCTCAGGTATAATATTGCAAGTGAAATGTTCAGTAATGTCTCAGAATTCCCACTAGAGGGTGGGTAAGGCACACGGTGTGGGCAACTTCAGAGCTATTGAAGCCAAACAGGATCTTCCAAGTGACTCAGAAAATGTTTTTATTTCTCTCAGTGCTGACATAGACTAGAAAGATAAAGGATCAGATCTGCCCCACACAGTGATAGCCTGACAAAAGCGCAGAGATTTGGCTGTGCTCTCCTGTGAAGTGTGGGGATTTCTTAGCTAGAGTACATAGGGAGCACATCCCTCGAAACGGGCAGCCATCTAAGATTGCCATTGATAGGGAGTGCGCCATGGAGGCCTTGCAGCAATCCTTTCTGCTTCGGTGACTCTCAAGCTTTGCAGCAGAGTGCTTCAGGTGTTTCTGTCCTGCTTGAATGCCATGCCCACAGAGGGATGTATTTAGCATGGGAGACGGATGTTCACCATCTAATATTGGCCGACAGCAGTTCCCCTTTGCTGACTTGCTGTGCAGGGCGGTTTTCCAAGGCACCTCACCTAGCTCCAGATTGTCACATAGAAGAAGGAAATCAGTTGAAACCAAAGTCTCAAATTCTTCCCTATTGATAGCCAAATTTGGAGCACTCACTTTTTTTTTTTTTTTTTTTTTTAACCCTCTTGGCTAAAAAAGTTGTTTTGCAGATTCATGATGCATTAAAGGAAGGTCATTCCTCTGCCATTTATGGTGACGGCGGTGTTCTTTGGTGTCGCATACGTGTTCTACAGACAATGTTATCTCCACATCTATATGGCAAAGGCACCTCTAAAAGAGCTGCAGGTCTTTCTGCCCAAAGCAGAAACTGCTTTATTGCTGCTAACTACCGAACACCTTGTCTTAAGGTCAACCTCCTTTTCTACTAGAATTAGCAGAAAGATAGAGGCAAAAGTTATTTGTACCAAATGTTAGCACGTAGTACCTACAGACTTTCAAAGAAACTGAGACCAGAATTTAGATAAACAGTCTGCGCCAAGCAGTTTGTTCCAAGTGCTTCATCTGCCAGATACATTAATGCCCAGAGATTTACTCAAGAACAGAAAGAATGGTGATGCATTAAGTTATAGGGGTGTTTTCAGATTAGCACATATATTAACAAATAGTTTGTATTTATTACAATGAAAATTTCTGGCATTATGGAAGGATTAGCTCCTGCTTTCCTCACTTGGGAAACAAGTGTAATGTTACTTATGTGGTTAGTGCTTAACCAGATCAGAGGTGTTGCTGCAGCTATTTATAGTTGCATTCAAATGATTATGTGCCTATATCTTTTGATCAGCATATATCCAGATTTAACTATAGCGATAATTTACCTTTGGAGGGCTTAATATTTTATGTCAAAATTGGATATTTTTCTGAAATATGTTGTTTTGCACAGTTTTGCATGTGCTGATTATGTTCGCTTGTTTGCTTGAGCTGAGTACTAACTTTTCATGTGTTGCTTTTATTTCTAGATTCCACAGAGATAGACACTGACAAGGAGAAATATATGCTAAATGACAGGGGTAAATAAATGCATACAGTGTCACCGGATGGAATGGCTTTTCAGATTATGATGCAATTTATTTTATCATGTAATTTGCATTTCATGTAACAAATAGTTTGTTTTATGATGTCTTTACTGTCACAAGTTAAGTGGAATTAATGGAGGAAATCGTACTGAGCTGCTGTTGAGGAAACCAGTGCCAGGAAATTCAAGAGACTGTAGAGTTTAATCAATATTTACAATGGTATTTTTACTTACACTGTTTTAGGGAAACTTTTCATTTCCTATGATTTCTTCAATGCTTGAATAGTAAGGTCTATTCAGTTGCTGCTGCTGTCATTTTGCATAAGGCCATCAATAATTTTTTTATATAACTTTCAAATTTTTTCTTTTTTTTTTTAAGCTTTCAATTTAAGTACAAATCATTTGAAAACAAAGACAGAAAGGAAGATGAGCAAGGGTGAACTTAAATATATTTTCCTTAGGAAAACATGTTAATTTTTTCCCTTTCCTCTGTTCAATGCCCAGATTCCAGAGGCAAATATTTTATTCACTGAAAGATATTTTGAAAAGGAGTTGAAGATCTGAAAGAAAGCTGAAGAATTCTCAAAATTTATAATGAGCTATTTTATCATTTAAGTTTAACTGATATTTTGTTTAGAAATTTGGATACAATTATGAGAGAATGAAATCACCTTCTATAAACTATGCCTCTTTGCGAATTTTCCCCTGAGAGAAGACTGAAATGAGGGACAGAAACACAGTTTAACTCAATGCGTATTTTTGCCTGTGTTGTTGTTACTTTGCGTATTGAACCAAATTGCTATTCAGATTTTTCACATCGCTATTGCTGAGTGCAGCATAGCAGTACAGGAAGAACAGAGAAAGTGCTTGGAAGTAAGAAATAATTTCTATTCTTAACGCATACTGATGAAAGAGCTGGCCTCAGAGTGGAGATTGTCCGGCTGCTAGCCAGCCTCGTTGGGAGATTACATCCGACGGAGCAACCAAGTCCTTGCTCCTTTGCTGTTTCTCCAATGTCCTTCTCCACGTGATCAGCTCCACTAATTTGTTAGTCTGCAGTACATTTGTCCTTAAATTGACAGGTGCAGTTTAATTGTAGCTATATTCATAGTGAAGTAGTAAATACAAATAGAATATTAGATAATAAAGAAGCAGATATAAATCTTTATGAGGTTTTGTCTGTGGATAAGTACGAATTAGAAAGGTTTTATTGAACATCAATACTGAACATCAGCGTTAAACTGCATGTAATTCCAGGCAGGCACATGAAGGAAATGTTTCCGGTGGGAGATCTGTTTTAGGTGTGCGTGTGGCTCTGCATTTCAGCTTCCAGCAGAATTGTAGACAGGAACAAGAATATTTGCTCTTGTCATGAAAGTGGAATTTGTGGAACATCTGTGGGGAAAAAACAAAGCCCTAAAAATCTGCTTCTAAGGGACTGCAGCCTCATATGATGTACTCTTACCCCCAGGCAGGGCATTGGCCCGGGGGGGGCTATTTACAGAGTAAAATGCTACACTGTGTGGTGAGGTCCCAGTAGTCTGGTTTGTATTTTGTTGTAGTGTTTAAAGGGGTTTTTGCACAAAGTTTTAGAGTGAGAAAACATCTAAGGAAGCTTTCACCTAAATTTCATAGGATATAGCTAGATTAACAGAGGTGAACAGTGAATGGTGTCAAAGCAGCTGTAGTAAAAATTAATTACATATAGTAAATGTGCTTCATAGTACATTAGCTACAAACACACGTAACTGAGAATGTGTTAGCTTCATTTGAATACACTTAATTATGCATATTAATAGCAATTGATGATTTATGAACTGAGCTAAACTTCCACTGCTCTGTTCTGTCTTAATGTGTTTCCTTTTTTGTTTTTTTTAGGTCCAGTGTTTTTCCTTGCTTGTTTTAGCGTTGCCGCAGGATTTGCGTTATTTTGGTATTGCTGTAACTCAGGTAATCTACTCCAGTGTTTTTTCTCTTGGTTGCCTTACTTTAGCACGGGACAGGAGGGCAGCGTGCCTCTTGATCTAACATGGCTTACTTAATAGAGCAGGTCAAGGTATCATCTTTCATTAATGAGGTTAGGATACGAATTGTGCTTCAGACATGCCGAGATATAAATAATGGATAGTTTGCCCACAGAGGATGCCACAAATAGGGGTTCTTTTTAAAGACAGTAGTCATGTGAGCTCCTGTTGCTATAGCAATGGGTCATGATTCCCAGCAGTCATGAGACAGACCCAAACCTTTGGGCTTCCACATCCCTTGGGAGCTGGTTGAAGCATGACCAGCACGCAGGGCCAGAGGACGCTGGCTCGATTTGCTGCACCCGAGCAGCTACAACCGTTGCCCCTCTTGCTGGCGCTGGGTGTTAGCTCTCCCCGTCGGCTGAAAGTCGCCTGCATCACAGCAGCCAGCAGAGCAGAGCTCCTGCTCCTCGTGCCGTCCTACCTTCCACTCACCCAACGTCGCTGTGAGAGCAGCAGCTCTTAGCAGAAAGTGCGTCGATGCGTCCACGTGGATCAACTTCAGCGAAGCAGTGAGTGCTAGTGGGAGAGATCCAGGGGGAGAGAGTAGCTGGTTCAGAGGTGTCACTTTCTCTCGAGTCTTCGCATGGTGCCATGGGAAGTGCCAGTCTTCACGCGGTAGATGGGGAGCAGAATCCAAACTCCATTTTGGTTTAGTACCTTCTGCTCCTCGCATCCCAGTCACAGCAGTTACAGCTGGACATTGTTCTTTACTTTTTTTTCCCAGAGCTGTAGGCCACAGTAGCATCAGTTCACAGACATTTCAGGTGATGTGGGAGTCTGGGCTGTGTTACCCTTCATTCCCAGATCAGAGTCCCTCAGTTGGACTGTCCATGGAGTCAAGGTTTAAGGCTAAAAGGGAGCCATTAGACTTTCAAGGCTAACCTGTGTTTCCTTAGCTGCCATCACCTCCCTTCATCAGGTTCAGTCACCAGCATTTAATAGAAGCATTTTCAGAAAAGTATTCAGGGACTGATACAAATAAACCAGAATCCATCACTTTGTTGATCCCAGTTAATTGTCCATAGCGTTAGAAGTGTGTGTCTTATTCTCGGTTTGAACTGGTTTCAGCTCCAGCCTATCATTTTTGTTAAGGCTTTCTCTACCAGATTGCAGAGCGCCTTAGCCCCTTGTTTCTGTGTCAGCTGACATTTCATATTTTCTCCCTGTGGAGGTCCTTGTGCCTCAAGTCAACTCTCCATCTTTATTTTTGCTAAAATTACCAACTCATCTCTCCAAGTCTTTAGTTCCAAGGCTCTTTTTTCCAGTTTTTGAGGCTCTTTCCTGTACCTATGCAGTATCTCAGTGCCCCATGTGTAACAGGGCCACCAGACCTGGATGTGGTGTTCCAGGCTTGCAGTGTCTGGTGCCGTGCTCGGGTGTAAAGCTGCCCCCTTACCTAACTCAATAATGTCCTCTGTGTGTGTCTGAACTTGCAGTGGTGAATCCTAACAGGTTCATCGTTATCCTGTCTTGGCAGTTGATGTGTTCAATATTGAAGGAAATGGGCTTTCCTCTAGAGTAATTTTTTTAATTGATTTTCATTTTTTGTAGATGCTGCTTACTAGCTAGAATGAAACTTAACTGTGTTCACTTTCTTTTTTTCCTCCATCTTCATTCTGTTTTAGATACGAAAGTCGTAGGAAGAGCCAGGAGAATCTTGGGCTTTTCTCCTATTATCATAGGAAGACACGTTAGAAATATTTGTATGTTGTATTTGGAAGACATATCAAGAAATTAAGGAAAAGCTGCCTCTTCGCTTGTCTGTAGAGTACACCTCCCAAGGGAAGACAACGGTGCATGAATATTAATGTACTATACTCTCATACCAAAGATTTTATTAACTAGCTTAATCAATAATTGTGTTGCCTCAAGATGTATTCAGAATTTTCAGCTATATATGTCCTTCCTTATGGGAATGGACCATTTATTTTTGTAAATGCTTATTTTAAAATATTTATCGTTTGGATAAAAAATATTTTTAATACAAATTATATCCTAAGTGATCATGGGTCTTAAGCCATGTTTGCATATGTGTTTTATACTGGAATGAAGGATCACAACTGTTTAAAGAATGCTAGCCTGTCTTTTGTGATAATTTAAGGAAAGCACTTAAAAAAACGCATGCACTCAAAGCCTTACTAAGAAATGGATCTCCATCTCAGGATTGTCTGTTTTGTCTAGATCCTTTATACTTACTGCCTGAGCTCAGGTGGGCACTGGCACCTACGAAGTTTATCAGTGCCAGTTACCTTTGTGTATGCCTAGTACTTGCCGTCTTTTCTAGTTCTCCTGTTTGTGCCTCATCCCAGCCTGCCTTGTTCATGTTCACATTCAGTTGTTGGCCCGTGGTTTGAGTGCGCTGGAGCTGGTGCAGACTGGTTCCCAGCCTGCGGAGGGTCCCAGGGACTGGAATGTCTGATGTGAAGCACTTGAAACTACCAAGAAAATTTTTCAGATTTATGTAGCTTTTACAGTGAAGTGTTTTACAGTCTGTATATCTAAGAAACTGAAGTAATCCGAGATATTTTGCAGGGACTTAAGTGCCATGACATGGGGCTTTTTTTATGGCCAAAAATATGTATAGTTACTTGAAGAGCCTGAGGTTGTTCATAATGTCATTTGGTGATGGTATGTTTTTCTTCTGTGAGTTGAAGCCTGAAAGTCTTGCACAAACCATTGTAAGACTAAAATTCTTGAGGGAGATGCAGGGCTGCAAGTGAAGCAGCTTGGGGTTTCTTAGCTTTATGACTCTAACCTTGCTCCTGCCCAGCTCAGTACAAATGGCTTTCCTCTTCCAGATGGGAGGGCAGTAGTTCTAAACTGGCTCTGAGAAAGGGCATTTTCGGTGGGTAGTTCTTCAATTACCTGCTCAAGAGCATAAGGAGCTTGGGGAGACCACGTCCCTGTACTTGGTGAGAATGATGCTTTGTGGCTCTTCATTCACTGACTGAATGAAGAGATTCCCAGATCAAATCAAATGTCACCTGAATAGAAGTTGCAGCTACATCACAAGTTACCATGCACTGGAGGATCCCATGCGAAATTTTAAGTCATTTGGAGTGGTTTTCTCAAAACAGTCATACTGAAAATTGTCTTCCAGCTTTAAACTTTATTCATGCTATAAAAATGTCATCTTCTCCAAAGTAAATCATCGTGTAATAACTGTATTCCCTTCCAGACAACGTTCACCTGATATAGTAACAAGCATATAGTCCTGAGGAGGAATTGAGTACAGGGCCAAATTTTCAAATAAAAGACCCAAAGAGTATTTGTGGAAAACGTCTTCAGAGATGAAAAAGGGCTCAGAGGACCCTGATTTTACTCTTCTGATAAAATGTTTTTACCTTTGGCATTGGAGTGTGGTTGGGACATGAGCCAACCCCACATAGAGGTAGCCACAGTCTTCGTTAGGTCAAATCTCAAGAACAGACAGCACGTCTTCGTGGTCATCGCCGCTGTGAGTGCAGCTCATCTCGAAACACCCGAGTGAAATCAAACGGACTACAGCGATAACACTACAACCACACTGTAAGTCAGCACAAGCTATTTGGTTCAGTATTTATTCTGACTCTGGGAAGGTGAGCTCCTGGCTGCTGGGTTTACGCTGCTAACGGTGCCTCCACCAGCCACGTTAAAGCCGGCTTGGCTGGTTTTGCACAGCTGCAGACGCTCCTTTGACTGCAGAGCTGGCGTTTCCCTAACAGCTCCCCCGGTGTAACTGTGCAGCACTCAACAGAAGTTTTCTGCGTAGACAGACGTACCCCAAGATCAGCAGGGGACCAAGGGATGTTATAAACACTTAATAGCCTGATTGTGCAGTGTAAAGCGTGGAATGAGACAAATGCCATGCGAACAAAATAACACGCAGCAGAACAGTTTATTTAGACTTCTTTTCCCCTGCCTCCACCCCACCAGCTCTTGCGTCTCTTCGATCTAATCTCCACAGGGACTCTAATTAGGGAGAAAACGGTGACGGAGCTGAGCGCGTTTCCTACAGAATTGGCTAACCGCAAAGCTCTGCTGCCCTTGTTACACAACGATCTGCTGTTGTGCTGCCTTCCATCTTGGGAAGTGCTTTAATTATATTCTGTTGTTTTCTCTCTGCCTTGCCTTGTGTTTAAGGTGACAACAGGTTGGATTTTTTCTCCAGCAAACCAGCTCTAATTTATAACATTTGAAATGAAATGTTCCTTTCCCCACTACTGCTTACCTCCTATAGCAGCCCCTTTTTAAGGGGCTAGAAAAAATACCTCTGAAATCTAAAGGGGTTTTAAGTCTTTGCCTTGAAGCCAACTTTGAAACCTCATTAGAGGAACGGTATTCCATTCTACACAAAAAAACATTATTCAAAGCAATCGCAATAGTCACATCTCATTTTAAAGCAGAAACTTATTGCTGCTAGGCAGTCAGTCTGTTTAGATTATCCACCATGTTACCTTTTGAATAACAGGTTGCAAATTGTTGTGAGCTGTTACTGAAACCTACAGAAGTTACCGGTGCCTTATTTAATCTGAAGGTGAGATTCTGGTGTACTTACTGGTTCAAGGATGCCTTGCAGTGCCAGGAGCCCTCTCGGGTCGATAGAACTGCCCCAGCAGCACACTGGCTGTGCAGCAGGACATGGTCCTCCCAGTTCCTTAAACCGAGTGGATTTCTTGAGCCTTGAAAACCACATGGAATAGGAACGTTTACTAAAGGCTATGGCTGTATTTCTCCTCCTCCTGAGGTTGCTTGAGGATGCCTCTCGGGGAAAACAAAATCCAGGTTGAGCTATCCCCAGGGTCAGGGCTGGGAGGAGAGAGGAAAAATGAGTCTTGGTTCATCCCGGTGTTGTTCGTTAAAGGACTTGACAGCAAATAGAAGAATATAATCTGTTCCTTTATTAGTGCTAGCTTTTAATTTAAAAAGTAAAAGTAAGGCTAGCTATAAAATTGGCATGTGCATAGGTTGGGAGACATTCTTTTTCTTGGAAGATTTTTCTTTCAGGAGCAAATACTGAGGTTTAATTCGCTTCTCTGCAAATGCATCTATGCGGCACATGCAGACAGCAAATGAAGTGATAATTCCACCTTCAGCTCCTGGAGGAAGCCCGTATGTACCTGCGTGGGAGTCAGGTCCTTCTAGGCAAGCAGTGTTACTTACTTGGAAACAAATCACGTAGGGTCTTGGATGAGCCTGTCTCGCTGCAGAATTCCAGCTTCCCTGTCAAGTCAAGAATAGCTTGGTGTTTGCTGCTGAAACTGTACTGGTATTAGGAATGTGCTTTACTTTAGGTGCAGGGAAGTTGTCTTGGCTGTGTAAAATTCAGTAGGTGATTACATGTGCAGAGGATAGAGGCCATTCTTGTGAACGCCGTGGTTCTTGTGCTGCAGACAGTAAATATACAGCAGCTAATAAAAAGCAGCCATGTTTTCAACATACCCTCTCTCACCTTGTGCAACTCTCGTGGAAGCCCTACAGCATAAGCAGCACTGTGCCTTTAGCAGCGTTACGGGCTGAGGAGCCGAACAGCTACTGCGTGAGCGATGCTCTCCTGGAGGGCTGAACATGGCGCTCGGGAAAGAGATGAGCGAGGGGAGGCTGTGGTCTCTGGAGGGTGGGGGCATGCAGGGTATCGAGCAGTCGGCTCCCCTGCCAGCTTAGACTGTGCTCCGCAGTGAGTGCCTCGCACACGGACTTGCTGCAGCTCCCACCAGGGACCGACCCCTTCGCTGCTGCGCGACTTGTGCATGAATCCGAGGGGAGGGGAGGGGGGATGAGCTCCACGCTCTCCAGCCTGGAGGACTCCCGATACCTAGCCAAAAACCATCTTCCTTCCCTGTCTTTTTTTCTTATGAATGGGCGTTTTGATTTAAGGTAAAGCTGAACTGCCTCTGATTGTCTTGGTGGTGATGTTGGAGCTATCTAGACTCAAGGAGAGGAGTCAGCCGGTGTGATAACCCCCTGAGCAGAGCGTGCGGGCAGCTGGCCCGAGCCATCCGAATAGTTAAGGCAGAATGACGGGGCCATCTGCATGCAGAGAGCGCGGGGAAACAAAGTGACAGATCGTACAATGAATTTGCACAATTCCATTTAGAGACAGACTGCTATTTAAAGTCCTTCAGTGAAGTACGATGTGCCTGCAAGCCAGAGCTGGAATAAAGTGATGACTCATTCTGGGACATACTGGGCTACTTCATAGCTGCTGCCTGGAGTTTCCAAAGCTGCCGAGGCAAAGTTACTCTTTCTGTTTCTTTCACTCGTGATTTTTTTTTCTCATACTGTAATAAATTGAAAACATATTTGCTCAAAATTTGCAGTTGTGGGTGCTTTTCACTGCTGTTCTCTATGCACAGGCGCTATTCCAGAGATGCCATGCTGTAGCTGTATAATCAGCGTTGCTGTTACACTGAGAATTGCAGTTTGCTGCACTTCACAGGTCCTGTGGTTTGTAATCATTTCTCCTAACGTACGTCTTCTTGAATTCTGTAGAAATTAATGGAATTTTTTTTTTTTTTAATGGGGTGAAGCTGGCAATTAAATTGAAATAAAATCTGTACTGAGAAAAAAATGCTGCTCTTTTTCTTGCAGTTAATGCTTTGTGATTCCTTCCAGAAGTGCCCCGCCACGTGTTGCCCTCCCGTGGCTGCTGTCTGCTGACTGACTCCCTCCTTGTCTCTGCGCTGTGATGGTTAAATTTTTGTTTTGAGTATTTGTGGCAAGATTTTTAACATTTTCACGTGATTTCAAAATTCTTTGCAGTTTTTCTGCTTACCTTGTTTAGTGATCTGAAGTTGAACAGGACGCATCGGTGCAAAGACTGGGTGTCTTTTGGTTAAGCCTTGACTTTGTGTCATTTTGGTAGTCCAGTGAATCGTTGCCCATCAAGACTTGCGTGGGGGCCTCCCTCTTCTTGGTATAAAGTGACTTTGAGACAAGATTGATTTTCAGGGTTACTTTGACCACCCGAAAAAGGACTTCAGGTAAGGAAGACATGCAGACAAATTTG